TGCATTTTCCTGATTTGTCAATTTTCAGTAAGTTATTATACAGAAAAAGGGGTTTTGATGTAAAAAACTTAGATTTTTTGATTTCCTCAGGTTTTTTTAACCATTTTCTTTAATAAAGCCACAGAAACTTTAAAAATATAACAAAAGATTAAAAGGTTCAGTGAAAACCTGTTTTTTTGACGCACTTGTCTTATATTCTATTTTTAAGTTAGTAATAGTACTGAAAAAGGAGATTTGTTGTAAAAACATAAGTTCCTTTGCTTTCCTCAGGCTTCTATGACAATTTTCTTAATAAAACTCACAGAATCTCTGAAAAGAAAACAAAAGATTCCGAAGGAAATCAGTGAAAACCTGTTTTTTATGAGGCATTTGTCTTATTTTTTATATTTAAGTAAGTTATTATATAGAAAAAGAGGTTTGTCGTAATAAATTTCAGTTTCATGGCTTTCTTCATGTTTAATTTTAAATTTTCTTCAATAAACCCACAGAATCTCTAAAATGGTAACAAAAGACTCAAAAAAGAAATTAATAAAAAGTTGGCTTTTTGATGCATTAGTCTTATTTCTTGAATTTAAAGATTTTATAGTACGGAAAAAAGAGTTTTTTTGTAAAAAACTAAGTTCCTATGCTTTCTTCAAGTTTGTTTTACCATTTTCTTTGTTTTACCATTTTCTTTGATAAACCCACAGAATCTTTAAAAATATAACAAAAGATGCTAAAAGACTTTATTGAAAATCTGTTTTTTTGACGCATTTGTCTTATATTTAAATTTTAATTTTGATTGATTCTTCGTCTAACGGTCGATTACTGCCAATAAATAGTTGCTGCATTAATTTGCATACAAAATATTTTTATGTGCACAAAATTACTTTCGCACAGTATTCTCGCCTGCCGAACAAACGGGGGAGGGGGTTGTCCTAATAAAGGAGGAGGTCGGAAATTTTTCTAAAATCTAATAAAGGAGGGGGGGGGGGAATCTTAATAAACCGAAGGGTCGTCTTAAAATAGTTTTTTTGGTTGGTTGTTCATATTTTCATCTATTATTGAGAGAAATATTTTTTTCAAAGTAAAAAAATAGCAAAAATATTTTATATTTTTTCAAAATTAATATTCGGGGGGGGGGGGGGGGGGAGAGGGGGATTCCTAATAAGCTCCAAGGGGTCGGAAAAAAATTAATAAACGTCCCCTCCCGTTTATTCGGCAGGCGAGAGTAATTATTTTTATTATCATTTTTATTAGTGGTAGCCCTGTTATTGAATTGTTATTGATATAAAAGTTGATTACTGCTAATAAAATAAAATCGCTGCATTATTTTGCACAAAAAGTATTATTATGTACATAGAATTGATAAGTTTATAAGAATTTCTGATCTGATTATTTAATCAAAATAAGGGCAATTTATAAGATATAAAGAGACGGGCAGACAGGTAAAAGACCCTGAAGGATATAACCTTTTCATTTGTTAAAAAAAGGAGGTTGAATATTTTAAAAAAAGTTGATGAAAAATATAGTCAAACTACATACGTATTCGTTGCCTTGAACACCTCCTAAACAAACTTATACGCTTTTGGGTGACCCCCGTCCTCCGTACTTTATAAAAATCTTTTTTATGACCACACCCTTTCATATACCCTCCCACCCCCCGCGAAGCGCGGGGAGGGGGGTTAATGGAAAAACCTCTCATCGTCGCAGCACAGCACATATTTGCCAGTACCCCTCAAAAAAAAAGCTAGATCCGCCCCTGTAGATATATCTTCAATCGTTGGCCAGATAGTTATAACTTTAGTTCACAGAGCAGTAATTAATGTACATTAACAATTTTTTCATGTTGATATTAAGGAAAAAGCAGACTCAAAGAGGAAAAAAAATTTTGATCTTGTTAAAAATATTTCTTTTTAGAATTTTTAGCAAAATGAAAAGATGTTCTACTTGCAAAGTCTATAAGTGAAACTGATGTAAATGAGACTTTTTTTATGCTAGTCCACTTAAAAAATACCCATTTAAGCAAAATAAAATATTAAATGGGTGTTTGTTATGAAATAATGTTATATTATTTTAGCAATTATAAATTACTGTGAAACTAGAATGTTGTTTTTATTAAATTTTAAAACAAAGCAAGGCGTTTTTGAATAAATTTTGCTTTTACAAAAAACGCATTCAAAGCTACCCCATTTGCGGGGTAACTTTGAATGACTATTTAAATTAATATTATATAAAATCTATTTATTTAAATATTATTTTGAATTTGAATTATGTAAGAGTCAATTATAGCCCCTATATTCACTTTGATGAATTTCAAATATTGTCAAAAGTGAATGAAGAGCAAGTAAAAATATCTCAAAAAAGTTCAAAGTACCGTTTTACGGTAACAGATGCAAAAAAAAAAACTTTGAAAAAGTAACTTTAGATGAACCACTTATTGTTTTGCCAGACAAAATACTTTCTCCCGAGTTCTTAATACAAGAAAGGAGGGGGGGGGGGTAACTTAGTACAGATCTAATAAACCGGTATGGAGGAGGAACAAGGGGGGCGGGGAAGGAAGTATTAAAAAGATGGGGGAAGGGGAGTTTTTTATGTTACAATATAATTAATAATATTAAAATTATTAAACATTATTATTTAAAACTAACATTTTTTATAAATCACGCATGAAACTATTTTATTCTAGCATTTTTTAACAGCTGTTTTATTATAATTTCAATAGGATTTAATATGCTTATATGAGTTTTATACTATGGGGAGAAACAAACCAAAAACTCATTCTCGACAAATCGAGATTTACTGGGGACGGCAGTTTTTAAAGCCTGTTTATACTGAAAAGCCAACGACTTACACTGATTTTTTTTTAGTTTTGAAATATAAAGTTTTTGTTGATTATAAGAAAAAATTAATTTGGTTTTCCCAAAAATTAATTTTCCAAAAAGTTTAAACGTCCTCCCCCTCCTTTTATCAGGGACTCAATTTATAGTTGGTGTGTATTTTCCTTGCTGGTCTTAAATAAAGGTAAAACATTTCTGGTTAGATAGACCTCGGCATATTTTATTTCAACTGAAACAACTAATATATCAACAAAAAAATGGTTGTTGCAATAGTAATTAAAACTGTAAAAAGATTTGCATGGTTTACATTTAGTGAATGCATTATTCAAACTCTTATGCGTTCCAAAGATGAAGAGGAACGAAAAATAGGAAAAAGGAACGAAAAGAGTACAAAAGAAACGAAAAGAGTACAAAAGGAACGAAAAGAGTACAAAAGGTGATAGAGATCAGAGGAAAAGGCGATAATACTCAGCTCGAAGATAATTCAGTAAGAATTTCCAAGTATAAATATTGATGCTGATAAATTGACCAATCTAATTGAGTAGAAAGATTCAATATACGAACTACTACTTACCACAAGTCTCACAATTCATGATTTTAGAAAATACATTCACAAGCCTATAGTTGTTTCATATTTGCTATGCCATTCCCAATCCATCAAATGTTGTGTTAAGCAGGTTTCTTTTTTATACAATTACAAGAATATAATAACTTATTTAAATTTATTTTTTAAAGGCTAAATTGTTTTTAATATTTAATTGAAGAAGGCTAAAAACATATATAAAAAAAATACATATAAAACAAAAAGTATATATAAAAGCACAAGAAATCAATAGAGGGTTCTATGAGCAAAAACAATGTTAAATATAATTTAGTTTGACTCACAAATTTTAAATAAAACTTTAAATAAACTATTAAATGTTAATTATATGTAAATTTTAAAAAAGATATCAGTATTATATAATATATATTATAAATGTTTGTTATAACAAAATTGTTTGACTTATTATTAGTTTAAGAAAAGACAGCGCACCCCACGTAACATTCGCTGTCTAAAATATAAAAAAAAATCGACTAACTTGTTTAAAGACAACCTTCACAATAGCCCCCATTATGTTTTTTTTTTTTTTTTTTTTTTAATTTTTTAACAAAATATGACATTTTCATAATTTGTTAAAGTTCAACCTAGTTTATATTGAATTTTTTTTCTTTTCATATTTTAGTTATTTTCTCGTTGAAAACTAAGCGTTTCCCTAGCAAGACATCTTTTCTTTTTTTACTTTTTTCCGGATTCAGATTCCCCATGAAATTCCTCACAAAACGAACTCCCCTTACTCTTAAAGTTTGATAAAAACAGGAAAAAAACAACACACTTTACCGTAACATTCTTTTTCTTTAATATGAAAAGTACCTTCTCAAAAACTCCTTTTATGTGTTTTATGACTTTTTTAACGAATTAATCAATTTATTTATGTGTTTTATGACTTTTTTTAACGAATTAATCAATTTTTTTTAATGTGTTTTATGACTTTTAACGAATTAATCAATTTTTTATATGTTTTATGACTTTTTTAACGAATTAATCAATTTTTTTATGTGTTTTATGACTTTTTCAACGAATTAATCAACTTTTTTTATGTGTTTTATGACTTTTTTTAACCAATTAATCAAATTTTTCAATTAATAAATTTTTTTAAACTTAACAATTATAGAGTTAAATCAAAATTTAAGAGTTAAGAGTTTTTTATTTAAGAGTTTCAGCCAGACATTATTTTTTTCAATTTTTTTTTTTGCAGATTCGGAATGCCTATAAAATTATTCAAAGTAACTCAGCCGTTTTTAAAATTAACAAAAAAAAAAAAAAAAAAAAATGACACATCCTAATAATCGAAAGATTTTGCTAAGAGTTTGTTACAGAAAAGTTTCTCTAAGAAATATCAAACAGATTTGACATAATTAGGTTTTGTGACCGGATTCTATATTTATATATTATATATATATATATATAAAATATATTTATTATATATTTTTTTATATATATTTTATTATAGTTTCCAAAAACGCCGAGATAAATGTTACGCAACTGTCATCTATGATACTTAAGAGATTTATGTAAAAACGGTGATGAATAGACTTATCAAGACTTGTATTTTACGGGTCCGGACCGCTAGTTTATTACAATTTTGAGAAAAATTTGTTTTCTTTATTTCTATAACCATTTGGTTGATAACTATCATTTATGTCACACATAAAAGTACACATAATAATCAAATTATCATAATATCTTTAAAAAGCAAATACAATGCAAAACGATGTTTTATTAAAACGTTTATTTTGAGATGTTAGAAAAACATTTGCCTTAGGAAAAAATAATAAAATTCATATTAAATTTAAAATCTTGACTTTATAGTTGCCAAAAGCATCTGACTTTTCCGTTTTTATGAACTTTTTAATCGAAAAATTATATCAAACTATACTTTGTTATATTGCAAATTACGTTATTACGTGACATTCGATGCAATTCAATCATAACAAGCATTTTGGAATCTCCAATCATATGATTAAATCTAAAAAACAAAATATATAAAGTAACCATAGATGAGTTAAATGTTATTCTAAATGCTTTGAGTCTAAATAGTAATTAAATAAATAAACAGACAGACATATAAATGAATAAATTATATTTTTGTGATATAGTTCTCAAAATAATTTTTATTAAAATTCATGATTACGAAATGCCATCTGATATTTCTTTCAGATTCAATTTTGAATGAAAATGTCATCCGCAGCAAAAGCAACAAGATCTCCTACCAAGCTACATCTCTTAGATGACTCTGTAACTAAATTAACAGACAGCAAGTTGCCTTTTTTGCGTATGGCACTTGGATTCTTCCTGCAACACATTATCTCGAACAGAAGGAAACCATTAGACAATCATCGGCAGCTACCATCACAGAAATAGCAAAATTTTGCCAGAAAGCGAGTTTCGATGGGTGATTATCAAAATTGCCATATCAAGTTTGAGCAGACAATTGAAGAATGGCATCTTCTGATAAAGAAAAAAGCGCAAACATCACCGACTCAACTTTGTCTCTAGGTTCAAAAAACTTTTGTGATGTCGCTAACGTCGATGCTTTGCTATGACGTCAGTATTACAAGAATACAAGAATTTTTTGCCGATCGAGAAAAAGGAAAAAAGGAAACCCATTCTGAGGCTGTTGGAGGCATCGTATTCCAGACGCCAAAAAGATAGAGGGAACGAAATACTGCCATTACTCCAAAACGCGCAGCAGCTCTACATCAAACAAATGTCAAACCGCAAGGCCGTTTTTGCTATAGCCAAAAGTTTTGGACAAAACATTGATAAACTTGTTTAAACAAAGACTCAATTTGCCAAGTGAAACACTGAGTTCAGAGATCTGCATACATAAAAGTTGAGTTTCTAGGTAACGTTTCGTTTGCTGTTCACTAGAATGGAAAGCTAATTCCTGATCTAATTGGAGAAGAGTAGGTCGATCGCCTGCTGATATTGGTTTTAGGGAAGAAATTTCTCAGCTACACGTAGTTGCTAATCTTCCATCCGAAACAAGTGAAGCTCAGGCTGCTGCTGTGTTTGGAGCTATTGAAAACTGGGCATAGCTGACAGCATCTGAGCTACGTGTTTTGCACGAACAGCTCTAACACTGGTTGGATAGCTGGTGCTTGAGTCATCCTAGAGCAGAGGCTTAAGAATGAACTCTTGTTCTTGGCTTGTTCTTGTTGTTGGCTTGCAGGCATCACACTATGCATCATATTATTATATACGTCAAGTAAGTGTAATACATGTTAACACGATTAAGAAAAACAGGGATGGAATTGACAAAAAGACATGAAGACCAAAATGCACAACAAAGATGAAAGATAAATATATTGTAGCTACGAGCAAACGTAACAGACAACTTTCAGCTATTCTGATTTGAATTTGATTAAATGAATAAAAAGTTTAATATCTGTTGATACAGTCAAGAGACCACTACATAGAGTTGAACTAAATGGTCGCAGGAAACCTTTCTTAAGGCGTGTAAATAAAGAAAAACTTAAATGGTCGCCCATTTAAGTTTTTTATATCATAACCATTGGATCATATATCATAATTCATATATCATAACCATTGGATCATATATCATTTAAGAGATCATATATCATAACCATTGGATCAATGGAAAAAAGTGTTTTGGACTGATCAAAGTTCAAATTATTTGGAACCAGAAAACATCTATATGTCCGACGATTGTCGGTAGGTGAACGTGTTAATGTTATTTGTTTGAGATATTTTGTGAAACATGGTGGTGGTAATGACATGATTTGGGGTGATTTTGGAGGAGGAAATGTTGGTGACGTAGTTAAAGTCAAATCAGTAATGAAAAAAAAAGTATTTTGATTCATCACGTGTTGCCATTTGGTATTAGTTATATTGGCAACGGGTTTGTCTTTCACCAAGACATCAACCTAAATACACCTTTAAATTAGGTTCAAATTATTTTATTAATTTTATTAAATTAAGACAAAAGAAATGCAGAAAAAGCTTCAAATATGACTCACAATCACCTGATATAAACCCTATAGAGAAACAATGGGATGAGCTAGACAGAAGGTACGCATGTTACTAAAAGATTATGACGTCACAAAGATTAGGGGTAAAATACGAAATTTTAAATTTTGCTAATGAATTTTAAACATTTTATACAATAAGTTGCATTGTAACTATAATAATACTTATATTAAATGATATAAAAGTGTTGAGTATATTATCGTTTTGTAACTGGAATCAGGGCTCCCGGAGCCACGAGAGCCACGGCTCCCCAGAGGACCTTTTTTTGTTTCACAAGAGGAGCTTTTTTTATTTTTTTGTCAAATATTTTTGTTAAACTGTGTTTTTGTAAGTAAAAATGGTCAGAGGGAATAAAAAGTTGCAGTTCTACATTTCGAATAATAAAGTTATTAGAAAACTTTAGAATTCGAAATCTTAGTTTTAAGTATTTTTTATGTATTCAAAATAAATTTGTTTGTTTCGGCAATTTCAATCAAAAACTTTTTAGTAAATTACTTATCTTGTTGTTTATATAATTATGTAATGATTTGCTATTTTTATATTTTAATAGAAATTATCTAATCTTACAAATGATAATACAAATATTTCAAAATATATGTTTTAATTGCAAAAAGTTTAATTTGTAAACGCTTTTATAATCAATTTCTGGCAAAACTCAAAAATTATGGACTTAAAAAATAAATTCTCTGTATGTGTATTGTGTGGTAATATGAAATTAGAAAAAGATTCGTTGAGCCAAGTGAGGAAAGATTTGAAAGAGATGTTGTCAACCAAGCTCTTGAAAATAAATTGAATGTGCTTCAAAATTGGATTTGAATATATTGGTTAAAAAACCAATACATTCAAATCCAATTTTTTTATACCACTGCATAAAAAACAAGAAGCAGGAGAAAAGGTTATACTCATCGTGTCGAACTTAGTTAAGAAACCAATCAAAATCAATTAAAAGATCGCAAACATCAATGGAAACTCCTATAGAAAAGAAAACGTTTAACTCGATCAGAACAAGTTTTTTTTAATTTTAAATAACAATGTTTTTATTGTGGATATACATATATCTACAATATGACACATTTGACAGTCGCCATCCTAAGAGAAATAATTTCATAGAACTAAGAACAAATCAGCAAAAATATATAATGCAACTCTAGAATTATGCAAAGAACGTAACGACTTTATCAAAAACAATTGAAGCTAGACTTGAATATAAATGATCTTGTAGCCGTTGAAGCACAATATCATATTTATTGCCGTGCAAAATTTGAAAGACCTATTACTACATCTAGCTCTGAAAGACCTACTTCAACAGACAAGCTCACTGTCTTTAATGCAGCATGCATAAAACTCGAGGAAGATATTGATCTTTACATAGTGTCTAAGTTTTACGAAATGATGCAAACATTAGGAGAAGAAATATATTCTCTTAAAATGACTTAAAATAAATTAAAAGAAAAATATGGAGATTTTATGTAATTTGTCTCGCGACAAGGTAAAAGTAATGTAATTATACTGGACAGATTTAGACATATATTATGCAAAAACTGGTACAACACAAAAAAAAAAAATAATGTAGAGGACGAAAAAGTCAGAGTTAAAACTGCAGCAGCAAAATAATTAAGTGATTGTATAAAGAACTTTGACCATGTAAAAACGTATTCTTTATTAGAAGATGTAACTGACAAAGAAAACACCTGCATACCATTATTGCTGAAGGTGTTTATCAAAGAACTATTTCCTGTGCCATTAAAACAAACGTCAATTTCACAAGCATTATTTTCCGCAGTGAGACCACAATCAATAATGCCAATACAGTTAGGAGTAGCCGTTACCGTTGACAATGTACTTTCTTTAAAGTGGCTGGATATTTTGCTTGCTAAACTGGGTTTTGCATCAAGTTACGACGAGGTTTATTTATTTAGTGATAATTTTAGTTGTATTTGCCTTTTAATAAATCTATACTTCACACATAAAAATATAAAATACAAAGAAAAACAACTTATTTAACAGGTCATTCATTACAAGCAGAACAAAGTGAAACACGATAAAATTAACAATATACTTTGCCCTGAAGGTAGAACTTTTATTCAGTTTGTTGGGAAATAAACAGATCATGATTTAGCTACAATCGATGGTAGAAACACAGACTAGGTTCTATATCAATTGCAAATGGAAATTTTATTGGACCCACAAATAAGAAAAGATTACCTAGGGATAGGAAAGATAATTGGTCCAACACAAACTTTGACAACCAGTTTAAAACCGCTCAGTTTTACAGCGCTGACGTTTCAGTTTTATCTCAAATAAAATTTCAAGAATTTACAAAGGTATTTACATAACTACGTTTATTAGTGTTTCAAAAAAAAGTTTTTAAATTTCATGTAAATCTTTAAAATATAATGAAACTTCAACAGATAAAGTTTATTTTGAGATTTTTGATTACATTTGCGGATCATGGTTAACTTTTAATTTTTCTTTTATTAAAGATCACTTTAAAGCCAAACCTTGTTGATATACTTTGGAACATGCCATATATCTTTGAGTTACAATGCCCTAGTTGGGCTGCCTATATGAGTCGTCAATTTGATAATGTCCTACCTATATCTAAAGTAACCATGCTTCCAGTAATAAACTTACTGGCAACTGATTTTAATGCGTTATATTCTTTGTTAAGTTTTATTGTATTGCAGTCAGAAACGCTACAACTTAGAATGTGTGATATTTGATCAACAGCTTCATGTCAAAGCCTATAAAATTGCTTCAAAGACAATGAACGTTTATATTAGGATTGGTGGATTTCATCAGCTAATGAGTTTTCTTGGAGCTATTGGAACATTGATGGAAGGAAGTGGATTGAAAACTGCTCTTGAAACTGTTTATGCTTCCGTAACAGTCAACCATAAGTTTTATGGAAAGGCAATAGCTCAAAGTTTTCGAGGCCAGCATCAGCTGTCTTATCAATATTGCTGGAGGAAATTTGGATTAAACTAAGCGATGAAGAAAAAGCTGAAATTAAATTAATGTACAACTTAAATAAGCATAATAATAATGGTGATACTGAGCTTGAAAAGAAGTTAATTCTATTATTTGAAGAAAAGCAAGAAGAATACATGGCTAAATCACGAACTTCAAAATTATGGCTAAACTATGTTCTCTATATATTTATTGTACAAGAGTTTATTCAATCAGAAAGAATTAGTAACTGGAACCTACATATTGCTGCAACAAAATGTATGCTAAACCTACTTGCCTGGACTAGGCACAATAATTATACGAAATCATTATGTTTATATTTACAATCAGTGGATGAATTAGCATGCACTCATTCAGAAGTATATAAACAGTTCCTAAATGGTGAACATACTGTAAGGCACACTTTAAAGAGTTGGTCTGGAATATGGATGGATTTAACAATAGAACAGATAATAATGAAATTTTTGAAAGGCAAAGGAAGAGTTGTTGGCAAAGGAACTACTGAAAATGTGTTACATGTTTGGACAAATACAATGCATATGTGTGAATAAGATTAAACATTCCTGTTTTATTGACTTGGAATTTGCCAATAGAACAACTTGTGTTATGGTAAAAAAAAGATAAAAGTTAATAAATACTACTAATAAAATAGATATTTGCAGCAAAAACTGAATACGGCAAATATACATTACAATTTTTTCATTAAAATCATAATTTTTATTAAGGTGCGCTGAAATGACAGAAGCAGTAAATTCAATAACCTCGTCCACACAAGTAAGGAACACAAAGTAAACACAAGTAAGGAACACAAAGAACTTTGTGCAGGAAGGATTAAGAATGACTCTGAAAATTTTCAGAAAATTAAATTATGGTTTGATTCTCATAACCCATTTGATGTAAGAGAACAACTTGAGGCTCTGGACTCAGGGTTTGTAGATAAATTTGATCAGGCAAATTGTGATTGTCCGGAAAGCATTGGTGCATCAATACAGGCACAAATGAATGATATAACATACACAAAAGTATCCTTTAAAAGAAGTATTCAACTCAAAAATCTTCAAGGACTCTACTCAAATATTAAAGTCAACAATGAATATGTGATTTTTTAATATTATTTTTCAGTTATGATTGAGAAAAAATCAGAAAAGGAAATCGAAAACTACTTTTACTAAAAACTGACTTGAAAAAAAGGAAATTGAAGATGACTTTTACTTTGAACATTTCTTATGTCACTATTTAAAGATGGTGAGCGAAGTGCTCAAAAATACAAGCTGAAAAACTAACTAACAAAGCCAATTATATCTATGCCCTATGTTCCTAATTCTTTTAGAGTTGCCGATGGTGGTGCTCTTTTATACTGCTGCTATTGGAACAAGGGTGAAATTTTTGACAAAATTTTTTAAAAGTACATTTTCTAAATTACTTTAAAGTTAGTGTAGTAGTGTTTGATGGATAAAACTCTACAAAAGACACTACGAGTATAAAGCTTAGATCTTTAACCCAATTTGCAGTTGAAATACATAAAAGCAATCCTTGTCCATCTGATAAAAGTAAATTTTTACACCAACAAAAAATCATTTATTCAAATTCTAGAAGTTAAATTAAGAGAAAGAGGTTTAACTGTGTATGTTTGCCATTCTGACGCAGATACTACAATCATTATAATTGCACTTAACTTTTCTAAAACAGAACTCATCAATTTTTGCAGATGACAGTGATATTCTTTAGCTCTTATTACACCACTGTAAATAAGATGAATCTATACATAAAATATATTGAACAAATATGACAAAGACATGATAGCCAGCATGAATATTATGACATTGATCTGATTATTTTGCAAACAATCTGACCAATGTCAGCAAAATGTTATTAAAAATATTCTTTTTGCGCACGCGTTTACAGGTTGTGATACAACAGCAGCAACTTACAATTTTAGAAAGACTTTAATTTTCAAAAAGTTTGAAGCCAAAGATTTGTGCGATGCAGCAGATATTTTTACCACGATGATAAATTGCCTGATGAGATAGGAAATGTAACAACTCGTTTTTTTCAGCTGCTACATTCCTCAACATCAAATCTACAACAAATACGGAAGCAAAAATACAAGGAAATGGTAAACTCTGATCGGGCTCACATAGACCTTTCCGTTCTTCCACCTTCCCCAAGAGCTGCTTACTACCATATTTTGAGAGCGCGTGTCATCAAGTGCATGTTTGGAGATGCCTAAGTGACAGTGACCTTTGACCCACTTAATTGGGGATGGAAATTAAATGGCTCTTTGTACTCACCAATAGTAACAGACAAAATAAATGTCCAGAGGATATCCTAAAGGTTGTTCGATATGGGTGTAAAAACTTGTGCTCAAGTAAATGTTCCTGCAGAAAGATAGGGACTCCACTGCACTTCATCATGTTCTACCTGTCACGGAATTAACTGTACAAATGTGGAAAAAGTAGACTAAGAATTTAAACCAGCCGACAACCGTCACTTTATAGATGTTTTTACATAATTTCAATTTTGATTCACTTAGTTGAATTTTTAAGAGTTTACAAGATAAACTTTTTTGTAAATATGTTTTAACATTATCGAAGTAACCTATTTGAATAATAATGTTTAACAGTATTAATAGAGAAATATTTATATATAATGTTTATATAATTATATAATAATGTTATATAATAATGTTATTATATTATTATATAATTATATAATAACGTTATATAATATAGTTATATAATAACGCATGACAGTATTAACAGAGGAATATTTGTTTTATACACACATCTTTGCGTCAAATTTTCAAAAAATTTGCTAAAATAGAGTCCCCCTCCGCCCCTAGATCATACTTTTAGTTATTAATTAGCTTTCAGTTCATTAAACCAACTACTAATATTTAGAAATAATAAATATAAAAATTGTATTACTTGCATAATAGAATAATATTTTTTGGCCAAAAATGTTAACTTTTGTGTTTTTCTGCAAATCTTTGTGACGCCACAACTTTTTTTCCCCATAATAAAAAAAATACCAAAAAAAAAAAGCTTTCCAACGATATATAACATGTATTTATAATAATTTTTTCTAGGTTGAGACAAAACTTTACAGGGCAAACACATAATAACATAAAAGTTTACTCAACGTTTTTCTTTTCCTTTTAATTTTATAATTAAATGTTTAAATATTTAGGCTTAGATGAACTTTCTGTTTATACTTAAAACGTTACATAACCAGTGTATTAATTATTATTAATTTCATTTATTGTAGTTTGTGGTATCTATTTTAGTAGTTCATGTATAAAATTTTTAAAACTTTTAAAAAACAAATAATTACATCTTTAATAACCATAACTAGCAATTACTAATTATTTTAGTAATATTTTAATAATTACTAAAATTATTAGTAATAACAATTACTAATAATTTTAGTAATTTGTGTGTTTACAATAGTTGCTGGCAGTCTGACCTGTACACTTCTAACTAAGTTTCTGTATGATATCATCAGTGTCATAGTTTAATGTGGGATTGATCTCTTTGTTTAAGAAAAAATTAAAAACTTTGTATAAACAAATTTTATTTGTCAATAATTTACTTACATAATGATGAACTAGAATCTTAAATTTGGCTTGCTTTTAGCAAGGAATCTAAATTATAAAAATATGAATATATCTCTATATATTATTGCTGAACTTCTAATATACATAAATATTTTATATATATATATATATATATATATATATATATATATAATATATATATATATATATATATATATATATTTGTATAAACAATTTTAAAATGTATTCTACAAAGTAGAGTGTCCAATGTTCTTAAAAGAACAGAGCAATTATAAATTAGTAGAAAATCAATTAACAATTTTTTTTTTAATTATACACTGTCCCTCCAATGTTTTTTAGGAGAAACTTATTTTTGTGTCTGCATTTAGAAACTAATACTGATTTTTTGTTTAATAAACATTCTTGGTTTGCATATGTAATTATTTGAAATTTTTCATGTAGGTATAGTATGCATTTTTTAGAAAATGCAATTAATTTAGAAGCGCAAAGTATTGCTAAAAAAATAAACCTTGATAACAAACAAATTAAAAATTTTTGAATAAAGACTAGAAAAAGTTTTAAATTATTAAGTTTAAAAAAAATTATTAAGTTTAAAAACTTAATAATTTTCTTTAAATTAATGTATATGTAGGACACACTTTCTCTAAATAATAATGCTAAATTAATGAACATGGTAGGGCACACTTTCTCTAAATAATAATGCTAAATTAATGAACATAGTAGGGCACAATTTCTCTAAATAATAATGATAAATTAATTAACATCTATGTCACACTGCACTTTCTCTAAATAATGAAGTCAAAGTGCATAAATAAAACACCAACAGCACAAAACAATTAAAAAAACATTTTTTTTAATAACAAAAATAAAAAATTTCACATTTTTTTTATCTTTATTTACTTAAATTGTGGGGTTTATTAATGTGCAATTTAAACTCCACAAGTTTATCTAAATGCCATTTTAGGCAAAAAGTATAGTGCTATTGATATACAGTAGTCTCAAAAAAATTTGCAGACTGGCTAAGCAAAATTAATTTTTACTAATATTTCAGCTCATGCTTTATTAAAGTTAACATATTATAATATGTTAACTTTAATAAAGCATGAGCTGAAATATTACAATATAATATATATACCAATTAAAAGGTTTTCATATATTATATATATACCAATTAAAAGGTTTTCATATTTACTAAATTAACTAAATGATAATTGATAATCATTTTATTTGATTCAAAATTTGATTTCCTTGATTGTACTGAGTCAGCATGATTTATAGATTTGCTGCCTTTCATTTGAAGTTAACATGTTCCCATAAATGTTTAAATGAATTTGAATCAGGTGATAAAAATGGTCATTTCAAAACATGACTTTTAATCTTCTTTAAAAATTCTTGAACCAAATATCTAGCAGCTTTAATCTCATCTCTTGGTAGCACTTCCAATGCATTAAAATGTTTTTATATTTTCCTAACTGCTGGTTTATTTTTAAAAAATTATGAAATCCGTTTAGACATTGAACTCCAACATGTTTTTGTACCCACTAATAAAGCCAACTCTTTCCCAAACTCATTGAAGCAACAGCAATGAAGATCATCATTTCTTATAAGTAAACTTTTTAAAAACCTTGCACTCATTCGAATTTTTAGGATAGTGGTTTTATTTTCTTCAAGCTCACATAGTTCAACAGCTTCTTTGTCAAGTAGTATTTCTTCCTAATTAAAAGATGTTTAATAATTAATACCATGTTCAGAATCATCATTATCACTCTGCTACTGGTATCATGTAACCCAGTACTACCTGCCTCATGCCCTGCTACCTTGTAGGGTTTGCCATTTTTCGGGCAAAGGCCATTTTTCGGGCAAAGAAACAAACTCTGACTTAAAAATCCCCTGCCTTTAGACACTTGGTTGAGTTAAGGCTAGAGATGGTGTCAATAAAAACACTCATTTTGAGCAGATGTTAACTATATCCATCCAAAATTACCCAGCTATGGTCTCTTAATTGATTTAAGGCTAGAGATAGCCACTCAATAAAAATATTCATCTCGGACAGATGTTAACTGCATCCAGCTAAAAATTTCATGCTTTGGTGCCCTTGGTTGAATAAAGACTTGAAATAGTGTCTTGATAAAAATACTTATTTTGGGCTGATATTAATTGCATCCAGCTACTGTCTTGTAGAAGGCCTCCTAGGCAAAGACCTTTAGGATAAATAGAATAATTCTGTTGACCAGCCATGAACCCCTTTTTCATTTATTAGGCTGGCATAGATGTAAACCTAAGTTAAATTTATTCCTGCCTTGGATAATGACTAGCTGAATTTTCTTGACTCTACCTTTAGATTTTTACTTGTGCCTCAGTGATAGTGGCTATGCAACTCTTCCTGTTTTCTCCTATTGAGGGTACAGCTCTAAAACTCAGTTTAATTGTTTTGAGATTCAAAAACTTCTAAGTTCTACTTAAACTTAAATCATACCCAAAGTAACCCAAAATATTAAACATAAAAAACCATCCCCACCACCAAACTGTTTCAGTATATCTTTCACAAATATTAGTGGTCTCCAAAGAAAACTATCAGTTAAATCTTGCCTCTTGCAAAATTCATCAGACTTGCTTGCTCTTTGTGAGACTAATTTAAATTCGTCTGTTCCTTTTTCAGATTTTAGTTTTGATGGGTACTATTTTTTGATTTATAAGACTCCAATAGCTATGTGCTTGGCTTGGGGTTATCCATCAAATCACCTTCTGTTTTCAAGATATTAGGTTTAAATCTTTTAACCATTCTTTAATGTGCTTCCACTTAGCATCTTTTCACTCTATTACCATTTTCTTTGTTATTTGTAGTTCTCCTTTTATTCAAGACTATAATTTCTGACCATGTTCTTTCTTTTTACCCCTCTGCCAATATTGTTGTTGTTAACTTGTTGTTGGTGACTTAAATACACTAAATGGTTTGGCTCTAACACCACTGAAGGTGGTTCCGGCAATGATTTCTATAAATCTTTCATCTTTTACATCTTCTTAGAACTCACAATATCATCACATTATAACTACCACTACATTACTTACAGTTGTAAGTAATGTGATGATAATGTAGTGGTAGTTGTAATGTGATGATATCGTGAGTCCTAAAAAGATGTAAAAGATGAAAGATTTATAGAAATCATTGCCGGAACCACCTTCAGTGGTGTTAGAGCCAAAAAAAGGTAGTTGTAAATAATGTGATTTTGGGTAGTTACCCTAAATCACATTACTTACAGCTACCCTTTTTGTTATGTGATGGCTCATAGAAGCTTTTATTCTTTCTCAAAAGATAGGTTCTAGAGACTTGTAAAAAATCCTCATCAACATCATCAACAAAAGTAGGTCAAACATTCAGTTGAATGTCTAATTCATGAGACTGATCTTATTACCTCACCCATGGACTAGGCAAAACTATTTGCAAATAGCTTTATTCTCATTTGACTTTTGAATTTATGGCCAATTTCTTGTGTCTAATTGGATTCAGGTCACTTCAGCTTCTGTTGCTAAAGTCATATCTCAATTAAACTCTTCTACTGCTTGTGGTCCAGACAACATCTCTGCCATAGTTTTAAAAAAGTCTTCTCAATTCTCTCTAAACTATTTAATAAGTGGTTGACTGAATAGCGTTTTCCTGCCTGCTAGAAAATGCCATCTATTGTTCTAATTTTTAAAAACTTTGAGTCTTTGATCAACAAATTTCTCACATCCCATCTTGTGTCAAATAACTTACTGTCACACAACCAATACAATTTTGGATTCTTTTTCTCTACATATGACTTGCTAACTGCTGTGTATGAAAGAATTTATCATTAAGCTCAAGTTGGCTTATTGCTCTTGACATATCAAAAACTTTTTATAATGTTTGACATGCTAGTCATCTCCATAGGCTTGTTTCTTATGGTAATCTGGGAAAATATTTCGAGATTATTAAATCATTTCTTTACATCTGCTTTTTTAAAGTCATCCTTGAAGGCCAAAATTTTTTTTATTTCCAGTATTTTTTCTCAACCAGTCAAACATGACTGGCAAGAACTTATTTTGGGAGATCAAAATAGCAACCTTAGTCATTTTAGGCGTTCAACTGTTGACCGGCCATTATTTTCCACGCTGATCATTTACAAATAGTGACAAATACTTAAAAACAATTTTTTTCTTAAGTAAATACCATGAAATAATATTATTAATACAAATAATAATGATGAAAATGTATATAATATATTATTATATAATTATATAATAATAAACTAAGATTAATCTCAAAACATCAATTGAATTTAATGCACTGACAAGAAAGTTACAAACAGTTATATATTGAACACCTCCTAAGAAATAAAAACAACTACTATAAAAAAATAATTAAATCAATAATTGCTATAAAATAAAATAAGCACTATGTCTATAAATATATCATTAAAATAAATAAACAAAAAAAAATTTAACAACACTCATAAATAACTAAATAAATATGTCTGTACCTGAGAGCCAATTTGTCTTAACTCCAAAAACACAACTTTACAGTAAGAGCAAAACAAAGATTTTCTTCCACTTATTCTCTCATAACTTTTTCAATAATCACTTTAGGAATTAAAAATTCATACATTATGTACAATTTATAATGCTCTATATATATGATTAGTTAGTTTTTTACACAACGGAGATTTCAGATATGTATATAACTCATTTTACCCAAAAATAGAATTAAGACAAGATGGCACTTAGGTACAGATATATATATATATATATATATATATATATATATATATATATATATATATATATATATATATATATATATATATATATATATATATATATATATTATTAATTCTTAAAATGCCTGCATTTTATTACAATAAAAAAAGATAAAACTTTTTTTATAAGCAGTAAAAACAACGCTTATCTAAAGAATTTAGAGAAGCATAGCTCGCCATGTTCGTTTCAGGAGAGCTTTTCACCCCTCCTGCACTTATTTCTTCTTCTTATATATATATATATATATATATATATATATATATATATATATATATATATATATATATATATATATATATATATACATACATACATACATACATACATACATACATACATACATACATACATACATACATACATATATATACAAAATAATTTAAATTATTAGTATAACTAAATAAGCAAATGTTGCATTATATATTGATAACAGATTTGCTAACAATAAGATAAATCACATAAAAAATATCGTTATCAATAAAGAAATAATTAAAAATAAAATGAGATAAGATAAAAGGCGTAAACAAATAAAATAAATAAACTAAAATCCTCCACTTCCAATATTAAAATTCTTTCTTCTTTTCTTTCATTTTATTTGTTTATTTTTTATTTTTGAAATCTTAACTTTTAATGGATAATAGTTTAAGTTCTTATTTTGTTAGTAAATAATTCTTTTCTTTGTTTATTTAATTCTGTTACTGCTTTATTGATGTTTTGTTTTGTTTTTAAGTTAAATTTCCAGTTTGCTGATAGGGGAGAGTTGCCAAAATCGGAACAGCGCCTTAATTGGAACACTTGCATTTAATATAAAAAAAAATGATTTATGGCTATATTTTGCATTTTTTTAGTATAACGCATTATTTTCTACATTTTGACACATTTTGAAAGTTATTCATCAAAAAATACGTTTGCACCATGATTTGAAGTTTTTTTTGTGTCATTTTTTTTCAAGGATCTAATTTTGTGTTCACACTATATTGATTGCGCTAGGTAAACTATGGTGCTACAGGTTATATCATTTTTTGTGTTTAATTCGATGGGATTTAAAATGTTATGCAGTGATATAATGCATGTTATTGTAGTGATATAACAAAATAGTTGAAAGTTTCCTTGATTGGAACATTGAAATTTTTCTTACCTAATCAGTAATAAAATCAAGGGTTGTAAAAGTAGTTCGAGTGCAATTAAAAAAATACTTAGTAACAACCATAAACCTTAAAAGTATTACTTTATTTAGTGATTTTTAATCAATAAATTTAGTGAACGTCATAACAGTTGAAGATTTATACAGTTTTTTGTTTGTAGACTTTAAATTTATCAGGGTAATACTAATCCTATTGTAAGTTTTGAATTAACTGTTTAAATTTTACTGTAAACATGAAAATCATTTTTTACAAATTTTTATTGATTTTACTGGATTTTTACTTCAAAAAAATTATCTGTTCTGATGAAGGAATCAAAGTGTTCCAATTTAGGGAACCAGTTGCCTTGATTGGAACAAAATGGTAACTTTGCAAAAACAAATTCATTTCCAATAACAGTACAATTAGTTAAGTCAAATTGTGATTAAAAGTGATGTTTGATTGTATTAATCAAATCATAAATGTTTTCATAGTTAAGCCATTTTTGGGTAATAAATATTTATTTCTTAAGTGTTCCAATTAAGGCAACTCTCCCCTATTACTCTCCCCTAGTAGCAGCACTCCCTATATATATATATATATATATATATATATATATATATATATATATATATATATATATATATATATATATATATATATATATATATATATATATATATATATATATATATATATATATATATATATATATATATATATATATAGGGAGTGCTGCTACATCGACTGACAAATAGCCTGACTCACAAGGGAGTGCTGAAACATCGACTGAGGTTTTGGTTTGGGCAGGCAGTCTATCATTTAAATTAAAAAAAAAAATTTTTTTGAAGTTTTTTAACATTTTCTGGTCAGGCTTATTAACGCGCTCTTTAAAACAACAGTTTATGGGAAAAACTTTGAGACTACCATGCAAGACTATATATATATATATAAGAAAAACTTTACGAGATATTTTTCCAAATATATTACTAAAATAACACTTAAAATATCTTTGAAATATTTGTACGTGTCCCTGATCCACCCCCCCTCATTATTTACAGAAATTAGAAGTGCAGGGTCACTTACAAATATTTCAAAGATATTTTAAGTGTTATTTTAGTAGCCTGATATATTTAATTTTAGATTATGTTTTGTTTTATTGCAAAAGATGTTTGAAATGGTCAGCCCTACCCATTTAAATACATGCTGTGTATATTTGGGAGGCAGGGGGGGTTGTCCTATTTATATTAATGTGTTTGATTAAAAGTTTTAATAATAAGGTGTTTCTTTTTTCAATTTAGGCTTCTGAATCATTAACATTCCTTCAAATTTGCCTTGATAATGATATATTTCCAAGAAATGACTACAAGTATTTTATACAATTAGCAGTTCTTTGGTGATAAAGTAAAAAATTTTCACTTTAGATTTCCAATGGCTTCGCATCATGCCAGGTTTATGGCAGAGGAAGTTAATTTTTTAACATATGACCTTCTTCAGCCACAATTCAGTAGCTTATGTCCTAATATAATATCATTGCAAGAGGGAAAGCTGATTCATGAAATTGCTTCATTTACAGCACTATTTTATGTTACATGGTTGATTAAAGCTTCTTTCCCTGCATAGCACCTTCCTTAGATTTAAAAGCTGTTAATAAAATGATACAATACTCTGAACTCTAT